CCTGGCCGGCGGGCGCGGAGCGGCGCGGAGCTGGCAGCGCCCCCCCCCGCAGGGAAGCCGGGCGGGGCCGCGCCACCTGCCCCCGGCACCCGCTCTCGCCCCCCGGCCTCACGTGTTGCGTCTGCGCCCGCTGAAAGCCTGCCCAAGGAAACCACATTTTACAAAAGAAACACTTTGGTTGTCAGGGGAAATGCGAGCCGCGAGCCCCCCGCCCCGGGGTCCGCCCCAGCTGTCACGGCGAGCCCGGCCGGCGGAGCCCCGCTTCCGTTCCTGCCGCGCAGGATCACAGGCAGCATCCTGCCTGGATGCTTCGCTTTTGAATAATGGGAGGGAGCAGAAAGCCTCCTTCCCTAGCGGAGGGAAGCCGGGTTTCAGTGTCGGCTCTGGTCAGCTCCCCGGGACGAGGGCGAGCTGGCGGCGGGTGCCCGCGCTGCCCGTGCAAGCGCATCAATCGGCGCCGTGCGCGGAGCGGAGTCCAGCGCTCCCTCTCGCATCATTAGCCAGGCTAATGCACTCCAGAGAGTCCCTTTAATGCAGGCTACTGGCATCCACAGCCGAGCTGTGGCCACTGGAACCGGGGGGGAGGGAAGGAGGGGGCGAGAGAAATTAAAGATCGTTTGTTCATACAGCGGATTAGCAGAAGTGGTCATTGAAATGAAGCTTAGCGAGAAGGGCAGATGCTTTCCAAAGCAAGTGACACAACTCTCTGGCTTGGGGATCATTTTAATAAGACTGTAAGACTACAGGAAAAAGTGAAGCCCCTTTCCAAAACAGCCTGGCACTCCGAGGTCAGCACGCCTCCTTTGTTTCTTTCTTTCTTTACAACCAAAAGGGAGAGAAGAGAGAAAGGACACATACCTGTACCTGAAAGCACAGCAGCAGGAAATGTAAACATCTGGAGAGGAGAAAAAAAAAAGCAACAACAGATCAAATGGTGCGGTGAAATGGTTAAAGTTTTTTGTTTGTTTAGCTTTTTTTTTTTTTTTTTTAATAGCACAGATCGAGGCTTTGCTCAGAAAAGGCTCGGGTCTCAATGACCGCCTGATTGCAAGGGAAATGCAACCGAGCCTGAAAAAGGAAAGTTGGGAAAAAAAATAAAAATATGTCATAATCCTTACAAGCAAGTGCAGGCTGAGAGCAGTGAATACATCGCTGGGTGAGGAGAGGGGGGAGGTCAGTGGCTTCAAGTTAACGGAGTAAAATCCCCAACCGCAGCCTTGACATGGGAATGATCCAGTTATAAAACCCAGCAGATTTCCAGCGATCTCGCTTCGCGCTGATAAACAAAGATGAGAAGTTGAGATACTGCCTGCTTTGCCTCCTCCGAGTGACTCCCTTAGGCATCAGATCTCCTCTTCCCCCTGTCTCTCCTCCTCCTCTCTCTCTCTCTCTCTCCGCCTTTGGAGAGATGAAGGTGCTTATTGTCAGTAACTTCCGATCATCAGCAAATAACCCCCCCTGCCTCCCCCTCCCCTCTTCTGCTAAGGACCCAGCCCTGCGAGGAGGATAAAGCCTTTTTCCTGGACTCGGCTTCCCAGACAGAGGCGCAACAGCAGCAGCGGCAGGAGCGGCAGCAGAGCTAATATTTGCTTAAGGTTATGATGGCTGGCGTTTGCCCTCTGATCCCCTTCCTTGTGATGGATCCCTCGGTGCCTGGCAGGTTATTTCAGTGGGAGCATGCCGGGATGCAGCTCGCAGGTCTCCTCCGCCGCGGTGCAGGTTCCTGCAGAGGTCAGAGCGGGGGGTGGGGACGCCGCGCTCATGTGCGCCCTGCGCAGCTAGCGGCCGGCCGGCGGGGGGGCCCCGGCGCACACAATGCGGGAGGAAAGCTTCAGCCCTGGTCTCTCGCCTCCTGCGGGCTCATGTTTCCTGCTCTCCGCGGCTCCTTCCCTCCGCATCGCCCCCGCGGCTTCCGAGCAGGGCAGCGCCGCCCCGGCCGAGGGATGGAGGCCGCGGCGATCGGCGCCCCCGGCTCAGGCGGACCCGCGCGGGCCGGGCCG